CCGCGACTCGTACCGTGCAGTACCCATCCCAGGTCGGTGAGTGATGCGACCGGCTGCGTGTCGGATCCTCTTCTGACTTCGTGGGCCAGCAGTAGGTGCCAGTTGTCTTGCCCCAACAGCACCGTCGGTTTGCCCTCTTCATAGACCAATTCCCTCTCTATGTCCCGCAGATGTGGACAGCCCTTGATGACGCTGCGTGGTACCGACTGCGGTGATAACTGCAGTCTGTCCATCGTCCGTGCCCCCACTGTGTATTCTTGTGAATTCCGCCCGCGGATCTTGAAGTGAACACGCGTCGATTGAGCTGCGTTGATCCGCGCCCCGGCCACACCTTCCATGTAGAATGGTGCGGGGGGACCCGTAGCACCGATTCGCTCCGCCACCGTCGTCTCGATGATGGTGCAAGTCGACCCGTCGTCCAGTAGCGCGTAGGTGTCGCACGTTCCCGTGGGACCGGTGACTCGTATCGGCAGGATCTTCAGGAACGCGATCTTGTCGTTTTCCCTTGCCGATGCGGTGACTGCGGCGGACTTGTCCTCGACGACGTGTGTCGTTACTTCATTCTCCGGCTGTTGTCGCGTGGTGTGCAGCAGAGGGTGATGAGTCTGCGTGCACTCATCTACTCCACATCTCTTGCTCTTGCAGGCGTGGCGAAATCTTCTTACTTTGAGGCAGCGGAAACACAGCCTATGAGTCTTCGCTAACTCCCATCTCGCCGATGTGTCTGCTTCCTTCATCGTCTTGCAGTCCGATGGAGCGTGTCCCTCTCGTCGACACATCGGGCACGGTGGTGTAGCGGGTTTCTCCTGCGTCGTGTATGTCTTCGCCGTCTTCCTAGGAGCGGACTCCCGCCGGTCTTCGGACGGTATCTCCTCGGCGGGGGCGAAGTTTCCACATCGTGCGGCGGTCCTTTGCAGGAACTGAGAGAGTGTTATGAGGTCCGGTTGTCCCTCCGGTTGGTCGTTGGCGAAATCGTAGTACTTGAAGCGTAGTACCGACGGCATCTTCTCTGTGACGTTTCTCACTATTTCTTCGTTGTATAGGTAGTGACTCTTGTTCAGCGCTCGTATCGTGGCGACGACGTTCTGCACCTTGCTTGCGAAGAGGCAGACGTCTCTTGCGTTGTCCGAGAGTCGTGGTAGCGCGCGGAGTTTGTTCAGTTCGGCTGTGACGAGTGCTCCAGGGCGGCCGAACCTCGCGGCTAACATCTTCATTACTTCTTCTGCGGTCGTAGACCCGACGAATAGGGAGCGTGCCGCGTCCTTTGCGGCCCCCTTCAAGCTTCTGCGCAGTCTTGCTAGGTTCTCTTGTTCTGTGAGTTGACTTGCGCTCTCTTCATAGGCCATCTTCCATGGTAACCACTCGCTCGACGATCCATTGAAGACTGGCAACTCGGTGACTCTTGACGCTGTGGAGGGCAGTATGCTGCGAGCGGCCATCTGCATGGCGATCGCAAACTCATTACAATCGATGCCCACCTTCAGCACCGGTTCTTCTTTCTTCATCGACTGCATCGCTGCTGCTATCGTAGGAATGGCGGCATGTGGGTCAACGTGGCGTGCGTGGTCCCGGTGAAGTGCGTCGCTGCTCGGCTGTGGCGGCGGCGCTCTCGAATCCTCTTCAACGGGTCTCGATGGGACGAACCCCTGACGCTTGCCGGTGACTTCTTCTATCTCTGGTACATGCGGCTCCATCGTGAGTGCTAGCGTGCTTCGATGAACCCAATCCGACGTTCGTTCTCTTCTGACGGTAGCGTCGTCGTCTTCTACTTCCTCGTCGTCCTCTGATTCGGCTTCCAGGGCGGCGACACGTGCAGCGGCCAATTCCACCTCCTTTCGAAGTAGCTCCTCCCGTGCCTTGGCCAGAGCCTTCTTCTTCTGCGAGGCCGTGGTGCGAACCGTGCGTGCCGTGCCGTGCTTCGGTTCCTTCTTCCTTGCTGTCTCCTCTGTCGTTCCTGTGGCTTCGGTAGTCTCCGTGGCTCCTGTGGTCGTCGTATCGCCGGACGTGTTCGTAGTCGATGTGGTGGCGGCGGTAGACGACGTGGCAGCGACAGATGACATTCTGACAGCCGCAGACGACGTGGTGGCAGCAACGGACGGCGTGGCAGCGACGGACAGCGTTCCGGCGGCCGTAGTCGACGTGGTGGCGGCGGACGTTGTGGCTTCGGTGACGGCGACTTTTTGTTGCGACGACTTCATGTTTCTCGTAGTCGGCATTTCAGCGATCCGGCTTCAGAATGGTCTTCCTCCAGCGATCCGGCTTCTCGATGTACCAACGGTGTTCCTCCAGCAATCCGGCTTCTCGAAGGACCACGATGAACGGTGTGGACTGCCGTTCGGTGAGCGTGGACTGTAGGGGCGTTGGTTCAGGCTGGAGTGAAACACAGCGATTACTATTCTGAAGCCTCCGGTACCGTCTGAAGAGAGTATTTTTTCTTCTTGTCCTATTTCTTCTCGAGTGTAGTGCGTCGCTGCCCGGAAGCGAATGCCGCTCGACGGGAGGCGGCCTATCTTTATACCCGCCCGCTCGCACGATAACGTTTCCAACTCGCGTTAGCGAATCTGTGTGAGCGGGACGGGGCGAGAATGAACGAGACGCGTGTCTCTTCAGATCGGTACCCTATAGCGTTTATTTATTTATTACAATTTACAATTTCTTAATTCTATTTATTGTTACAATTTCTATTTCTATTTGTAGGTAATAATGACAACACACAAAGGAATACTTTATTTAACTTACACTATAGGTATCTTAAATCTATGTAAAATCTATATAAAATAACAGTATACAAGAACGATTAAACTAGGGACTTAACAACTATAAATCACGATTACATATATACAAATAATGTCGCGAACATAGGTAGTACTTAAAATTATATTCATATTTCGTTAGAATACCGGAATAACATTTTTAAATATTATACTATTAATCTTCATGAATTTATATGATTTATTAAGAGATAATATCATGAAAAATAGATATGTAAGTTTGAGTTATAAGTAAATTTGAGTCGATACAAAAATTTAAACTTTAACCAAACATGAGATTTTTACATTGTTAAATGCTTATGTACATATCTATGGAATGTATAAAATCTTTAATTAGTTTTGCTTTACAAATAGCCTGTATCTGATTAACCACAAATGTCAAATCGAATTAATATAAGGTTCAAGATACGATAGAAATCACATATGAACAAAATGTGATTTTCAGATAACATTTATTTATTTAAGTTTGTAATGAGTATCTTTCGCATATGAGACTTCCTCAGAGGATAAATCAATTTTAAGGTACGAAAGCAGACCGTTGGACTAGAAATTCGAATGTGGAAAGTCTGTTACACAATTTACTTGCAAAGTTTTTATAAGGTCGAGGAAGTAATGAGTTAGGCAAAGTACAGTCATTATTTTTGGATACACTTTATGTAAATTATTCGTTAAATATTCACCGTAAAGAGATTGATAGTCATGGTATGACATATACGAATCGACGGTCCCTAGGGAGCGATGTCAATTAAAAACGGCCGGGATCTAATTGTGCCCATTTTAGCTCGATTGCGCCACACGAGGGCGGAGGGCCGCGGCTGGCATCCAATGGCAACATCATTATAATAGTTTCATTGTTTTGATAAGAAACTTAGGTGCAATACAGCAAACGTACTAAGTGTGTCTTGATTCGAAGATGTCGTCGTGGTAATGAAAACTAAAGGTCACAAACAGAATCACTTTGTTTCACAGCTGAAATACCTACTTAGTACTTTATGAATATGTTACAAATATATGATCTTACTTATTGTTAAAATATATATCCTAAAACAATTAAAATAGATAACTTCAGTAGGTCTATTATTTTTCGAAAGTTTCCATTTACGACAGCTGATAATGAAAAAGTATCTTTTAAAAGATAATTTGTACCTATCTATAGTAGATATATTGAATAGAAAATAAAGACTGATGTTCTTCAATATTGAAGGCAATAAAACCGACGCAAGTATGCAGTAGGGGCGTGAAGCTTGACTCGTAATCCATTGGTGCCGGGTGGGTGCGCTGGAGCGTCACGGTAAGCGCCCTTTTACCGCAGTCGAACCGCTAGTTGCAAGTAATGACAAAACGTCAGACGTTCTTTTGACAACCACAAATAACACGGTTATGTTATGTGGTTATGACTAAAAACCTTACGAACGTAACCTAAACGATCATTACACGCGATGTTTGGCTTATTTAAGGAAACAATGACAATTTCTTGAAAATCCATTAATAGAATTAGACTATTGAACTAGAATAATTAGTCTGTAACTATAGAAAATAATGTCTTGTAATTATAAAATTATCGAAATTTATTTATTAATCTAGTTGCAAATTAAATACAAAATACTATGCATGTTCGACAAGAGCCGCCATCTATACGCGAAACTCAGTTAACAGAATATTTTAAATTTTACGCCATCTAGTGTTGAGTAGCAAAACCACTAGAAAAAACAGTACAAATCGTTGTCTTACTAGATGGCGCTATCTACATTCAAAGCATTTTACAGTAAAATTTTGTTGGTTATAATTAAATTTTGATTTCATTTTAAAGGATACTATTATTATTACAATCTATTGTAGGTGCTTTAGGAATCCAAAACTTATGGTATATTATAGTATTAAAACAAAGTCAACAAGTAAAGGAATTAATTTTAGAACCTTTTATGCAAACTCCGCAATCACGTGATGGATTTGTTAGTTTGATTTAAAAAAATATTGGGTATATTTTGTTTCATAAATACCTACTGTATATTAAAACTTTTAATCAAAGACATCTATCGATTATATGACAATACTCACTTTATTTGAGACTTGTATAGTTAATTAATTGTATAAAAAATTTTAATTTGCTAAATCCATTCCTTTTTGAAGTAGACTAAAATTAGTCTTTTTTTCCATCGATTGTTGGATACCTAAAAGAATCCCTACATAATACTAAATATATTTAAATAAATAAGAATCAATATATACCTTGTACGGGTAAAGCTTTTAATGACACAGCATCTTCTTCAATTTCATCTTCCACTTCTTCTTCAGTGATAGAAGGCGGAGCAGCCCAACATCGGAGTCTGACCCCCGCGGTGCCAGCCTGACCGCCGCCATCTAGCCGCACGCGAGGTAAACTTCGTGATGAATATTCTCCGTTGTTGTTGGTGGCCTAGTATAAAAAAATAGGGAATTAATTAGAAAACAATTATAATTGTATTAATTTATTTCAGCCGTTAACTGTCCACTACTGAACATAAGCCTTCCACATAAGGGAAGTTTTGCCAGGTGTTACCACGCTTGGAAGGCGAGTTGGCAAAATCAGTTAGGCTTTTAGAAATATTTTAAGAGGGATGTTATATATTAATAATACGACAAAATTAAATAAATTATTAAGAACCCTGATATACGACGAGAAAGTTACACTCATCGACAATAATGAATAAACACACATATTTTCAAAATTTCTAAATGTATACATAAGTTGTTCAGCAAGATTAACGCAAGAATTTAATGGGCATCATAAAAATAAAAAAAATTGGTTTCGGCATGCAGTATTAATGTATATAACGCCGTATAGTATCATTAAAATCTTAATGTGTCTGACCTATGACGGCCACCATACAGCGTCTGCTTCAGAGTCGAGATAGACAGGCAGATGGCCCTAAAGGACATAATGAAATTAAAATGCTCATTCATTATAAAGGGCGTCAAATATTTATTTTAGCCCGAAGTGGTAAAATAGCTAGATTAGGCATAGTAAGCGCATACGCGGTAATCTGAAACCGCGTCTATTGAGAGCTTTAAGTATAGACAGAAACTGTATATTTTATTAAAATCTAAAAACGCGGTAGCATGTTCAGCCAAGCTCAAAGTAAAAGGAACTGGCGACAGTCTCAGATGTAAGTGTAACCAATCGAACATTATATTTATCATTCGAATATTTCTGTTGTGTCCAAAATGTTCTCTCTAAACGATAAAAATTTACTACACGTATGCAATTGTACTAATGGATCGTCAAATTGTAAGATTATCTCCAATAGTTTGTAACTGTATAACTACAGCCGTCACAATGTTAAGAAATATTAGCCATCAATAGTAAAATTTTATATAAAGAAATACTTCTCTATGGTATGTGCTTGTGTCGGTTTTATATTCCAATCAATGGTTAATAATGTCCCCGCTAGAATAATATTTCTTTCATAAGGTTTGTTTGTATTAATCAAGGTAATCGATGAACGGACCCGCATTAGTTCTATTAATAGCCAGTTCCTTTTATGTAACTAATATAAAAGGTACCTACATGGGTAGTAGAGCCAGAATAATACCATACAACTAATGTTTAAAGATTCTATAACTTAAAGCATTTTTTTGTTATCTTACAGATAAATTGCAGGTTAAACAAAGATGACAATGAATAATGTGATGAAATAACAATGTTTAACTATTAATAATAATAACGAAACCAAAGGGGTTATGATTCATTTAGATATACGTTAAGTCAATAAGTAATTAAATAGAATGATGGTATGAGGACAAATAGGCGATCAACATACCTACTCGCAATGTTCCATACATGCATCTAAAAGCATTTATGTAGTTATCAGTCATCACCTACATAGTTTTCTCTCAACTATAGCAATATTGATCCTAATATTTTGCCCCCGGGGAGGGAGGGCAGTGATTGTTAGGAAAGAGGATCTAACATCTCCATTACTAGCAAAATACCCTAAAAAGGCATTATCATCCATTAAAAAAATGACTACTCCTGAATATAGGTCCCCTATAAGGGACGTAACCTACCAGTAGTTGGCACGGTTGGCAGGCGGGTTGGCAACTGCAGTTAGGCTTTAGTGATGAAAGGAACGCTATAAAATATTTTCAATTATAAAAATAATATTTTGCTCCGCAAATATCCTTACTAAAATTATAAATGTGTGTGTGAGTTTGTTTATTTGTTTGTTACCTCTTAGTGCCTTAACGGTTTGACGAATTACTACGAAATTTGGTACACACTATACAGGATAGAAAAAGACAAGTATACACATATATAGACACACTTTTTATCCCGGGTATTGAACATATCCCGGTCACGTGGACTAAGTCGTGGTTAAAAGCTAGTTAATAATAAAGTACTGCTTATAACAGAAACTAATTTTTCCAAAGACCACCGATTACTCACTGAAAAATAACTACAAGTTACGGGCGCTTAGCTAACGATCAGCTGTAACTAATAGATCGCCTGTTCATTCATGGTGAGGTTGCTTTAATCAGTAACTACGCATGAGATGAACGACCGCATCCACTGGTAGCAGCTGCCGGGGCCGATAATAATGCAGTAATTTATTATCTACAATAGTCTATATAATAATAACTAGGTACATAATGGTCGTTACAATAATTGTACATATAATGTAATTGGATTTGATGATATTATATAATTTTAAAATAGCAGTAACTGGCAGTTATTACACAGAACTTTGTCATATCGAAGAGTATGTGATGATTGAATAAAAGCCACCACCACCCCTTTCGATTTATATGGCGTTGTAAAATAGCGAATAGAAAAATATAACATATTAATATCTGTCTTATTTCTCTACTCGCCATTCAAGCTGTTCTTGCAAAAGAAAAACCCAAAGTAAAATCTTATAATATAAAAGTTTTCCTTCTCTTGCACTGCTTTAGTTATGTTTGTTTCCCTTAATCACTTCTTACGAGATTTTGAGAATGAAAAGGAGATCGTCATACGGGATAGAGCAAGAATATAATCACCACTTCATTTTTATGTTGCAAATATTTAGAAAAAATAATTATTTTCTATCAAGTGGTTATATAACAATCCTAGGTATATTTGTTATGCATATTCCATACCAAATCAATAATTTGAAATTATTAATTATTTAAATAAAAAAATTTCAAGTTTATCCGGCCACTCACCATGGGAACAAACGCATATAAATGCATTTCAAGTCAATACAAGGCCTTGAAGGCACACACATTACAAGGTAAACTAAATACATATGTCAAGTATTATATGCTGTGAAAGTGTATATAACTACCAACCTCTGATTAATTCTTGTACTAACTGTGTGTCTTCATGCATATTACAATCCTCAATTCGCACAAATATTTAGAAATTCAGAAACTAAATAAATAAATTATTTACACTTTATCGCACCATTTATAAAAATAATAAATACAGTAAAATTTAATGAAGAGTGATACAAAAGACACCCTTATCGCTAAGCAATCTCTTCCAGATAACCTTTTGGCAGAGAACATTGCGAAAAAAGACAAAGGATGGGTGGCCAAAGTAAGTGACAAAGAAATAGATATACCTAAACATACACATACTTAATGGCACACAAACAACAGGAGAGAATGAAGGAGGAAGATGAAGACAGAACACAGGAAAATAATACTATTTTTTAAAATATATTGCTTACTCTTAATCAAATTATTGGAAAAAAATTGTTGAGTTGCTTGTTTATTACATGACATCATAAAGACGGCGCGGACTTTGTCTAATTTATTGCAAACTTTAAATAATAAAAAATGTTAAGATTTTCATTATATGAAATTCAAGGGATAACTAAAACCCTGTAATGACTTCAATCTCTAACTCATAAGGAAACATGTGGAAGGTATCGACATGAGTAATCGTGGTTCTATAAAAATTCTTAGTGAATTACGCAAAAAGAATATAAACTACGTATTCTAGTAATTACTCTGTTAATTTATAATTTATTACTAATCATTTATTAAGTCTACAATATAAGGATGTATTAAAGACTATTTGGAGCGTGACACTACATGGATTATCAAATGATATATGATACAATTAGCTGTTTCATATATGTCCTTGCGTCTCATGTCTATTTTGACCTTATTGCTTATAACTATAACCTTATTACTGTTTAACTGAGCCTTTTATTTACCACTGATAGGTAAAGGATGGACGCTTTTGAGATCCGTTCAAATTTAAATCTTTTTAAAATAGCTTAAGCTAGAGAACGAAATAGTGTTTATTCTCAATCTACTTTCAGCGCATAGTGTGATACTTCGGCTATATTGTCGGCATAAATACTAACAATCAGAAATGAATGTCAATATGCGAAAGAACAAGAGACCTACAAGCCAAATTCAATAACAATGAGCAAATCATGCTATCCAATTGAATTGTAGATACTTTCTAACAGATAGAGTCAAAACATTAAGGATCTATGTCGAAATTTCAATTCTAAGAAACGATTAAAAAATAAAAAACTTTTATTTAAATATATTATTAATGTATTTATAAACCATATTAGTAAACGTACAATGTACAATTTACTTAAGATCAAATTCAATCATAACTCATTAATGGCAAATGGTAGACAAATTATGGATATGAATATATTATTATTTACGTTACCACTCGTCATTCCGTCGAAAATCTTCGGTTTGAAAACGAAAAACCGTTACACCGGTTAAATCGTTTTATTTAAAATTGTAATGACTCCGCTATTTTAATATTTACTTATGTATATGCATTTATCGTGTAATGATAATTAACAGTAAAGCAGGAGGGGAGAACGTCGATAAATATAAATTTATTGTAAATAATAAATTAACAAATAAGAAGGAATATTCTATCTTGTACAGGTTTCTGTACTGAATGTAGAATTCAAATAAAAAAAAAAAAACTAGCACGCAGTTTAAATATTCACATTGGCTTTCATTATCCATTTGTGTTCCGTAAGCAAATATTATAATTTTAATTCTAAAACCCAACCAATTAACTCAGGCGTTTATATATATATTTTTTTCGGTATTTAAACACTCTTTAACAATTTTCATAAAATATACCCCCTATTGCATATGGCCAATCCCCTATGATCAGCAGTGGACAGTTAACGACTGATATAAGAATAAAAAATTCTGCTATTGCATTTACATAATCTATTGCTAATGCTATGTCTGGCTTTGCAACTTCACAAAGCCTATATACCTAGACGAGTTCCAAGGATAACCTATATTAGAACTTACGTTTTTATATTCAGAAGGATGGGACGATTGTAAAACAATTATTTTCCTGATCTTTTGTATACAGATATCAAAGAATATAACAATGACACATACTAGTAGTATATAATAACATATACTAGCAAATGTGCTGAATTTCGACTA